CTCTATCGATTCCCCAAAAATAATTTTTACGCCTCTTTAGGGACGTGGCATATCGAAAAATACCCTGTAATTTTCACATTTTTTGAGGGTAAGCATTCAAACTTTGCAGTAAGGGTACCGTTATCTCTTTCTAAAAACTGACCAAAAATGAGGTGTCTACGCTCAGTTGGGGCGTGGCAAATCGGAAAAACCTGTATATTCTACAGTATTAGAGCGAAACTTAACTACTAAACTGTTGATGGGATGTGAATGAGTATTCCGCAGTCGGTAACGCCCGACTGCAACGTTCTTACTTGTTATACCCTGAACCCATTTTCAATGGGAAATCGGGGTATAATGGTTTTGTTGAAATGTATGTAACAAGCAGAAGGAGGCGTGGCAGACCCCACAAAGTATATATATTCTTGATCAGGGCGACGAGCTGAGTCGATTTGGCCCTATCCGTCTGTGTGTCTGTCCGTATGTTTGAACGCGTCGATTTCAGAAAATATAAGAGTTAGAGACTTGAAATAAATAATTTTTTTAAATGACCGTGGATGTCGAGTTTGCTTTTAAAATTCGATAAATCATCCCGTTATGTTTTTATCGAATAAAAACATGCAAGTTCAAATCAGATGCCACTATAGGTAATTGTGAATGATTTTTCTTTTTTTTTTAAATTTCTCAAATATTCAATATAATATGTAGATCATATGCTGAAAGTTTCATTAAATTCCGTTAAGTCAAGAATTAATAAAAAATAATAAAAATATTTGGCCAATTAACAAACGCACGTGCAGCAGCTACAACAGTATCGTATACGTGTGCACACATACACTCAAACTTCTTCTAAAACATTTTTTGAATCACATCAGCTGTTAGTTTGGTTTAGTTTTGGTAGATGGCGCTGCAGGCGAATCCCGAGCGGTGCAACTGATGTTAGTTTTTATACTCATTCACGAAAGTGAATTAGTATATTGGTTTCGTGCAATGTCCGTCTTGCTGTCCGTCCGTCTGTCCGTATGAACACAATCTATTTCGGTGCTGTTGAAGCTATAGACCTGAAATTTGGAACACATACTTGTGTATATCTCCGATCTATAAATTGTTAAAATTTTCCCGATCCGCCCACTAGGGGCGTGGCAAATCGGAAAATGCATTTTCCGATATGCCAGAAATCATATTAATTGAAGAGCTGAAAGCTGAAATTTGGAATATAGATCCGCATCGACCACCCAAGATCATGTGCTATGGCGGATATATCTACGGGGGTTGATCCTTTTTGTCCTGTGTCCGACGACGTAGGGCGGCGTTTCAGGTGACTTGGGACCCTCTGGCAGCACGCGTTCTGCGGACTGGCATTACAGATGAGGTCGGCGATAATTGATAGCGAACAACGCGTGGTGGTAAGGCACGATCTCAATGTTGAGCCCAATCCTTTACTAGGATACAATTCCGCGTGTCCCTGCTGAGTCGCTATAAAGAAAGAGAGAGAGAGAGAGAACCAAACTAATAAAAATGCACATTTAGTATGGTTAAAATTTAAATTTCGGTGTATTTAAAAATATAAATGAAATAGAAAACTCATTTAATTAAATATATAAATATATAAATATTTTGAAACAATTAAAAAAAACTAACATCAGTAGCGGGCTCGGGATTCGAACCCCCTACTTCTCGAGCGCCATGCCGCTACTCTCTACGCCGAGTCACTTTTGGAAGCTGCGCTGGCAAAACTGAAATAGATTCACTGCTGCAGCGCCACCTAGCAGAACTAAACCAAACTAACAGCTGATGAGATTCCAAGAATGTATGTATGTGCACACGTATACGAAAACTGTTGTAGGTGCTGCACGTGCGTTTGTTGATTGGCCAAACATATTATTATTTTGTAACGTCGATTGACTTAACGGAATTTAATGAAACTTTCAGCAAATGATCTACATATTCTATTGAATATGTGACAAATTTAACAAAAAGGAAAAATCATTCACAATTAGCAATACTGTCATCTGACTTGAACTTGAATGTTTTTATTCGATAAAAACATATCGGGATGATTTATCGAGTTTTAAAGGCAAACTCGACATCCGCGCTGTAAATACGGTCATTTAAAACAAATTCTAGTGTAGTCTCTAGCTCTTATATCTTCTGAAATCGACGCGTTCAAACATACCGACAGACGGACAGACAGACAGACGGACAGGGCCAAATCGACTCAGCTCGTCGCCCTGATCAAGAATACATATACTTTGTGTGGTCTGCCACGCCTCCTTCTGCCTGTTACATACATTTCAACAAAACCATTATACCTTGATTTCCCATTTTCAATGGGTTCAGGGTAGAGGTGGGCACGGGCCGGGTTTTTATCGGGTACCCGTGGGCACCCACGGCACCCGTTTTACCCGAAAAAATCATATTTTGGAGACCGTCAAAAGCATGATGGTTGACATTTATGATATGAAAAATGATTCAATTGAGGACGCGAAAATTGAAAACTCTCCGACAAATTTGAATCCTTAAATTGTGGCAACAAATATTTTATGTATTCCGGTAAGCTGTGCAACAAGCGAGCGAGTATTCTCCTCTTCTGGAAAAATTTTGCTTTTGGGTACGGATAAAATTTTGAACTTTTGACCGGGTGCAAAAAAGTCGGCCCGTGCCCACCTCTAGTTCAGGGTATATAAATATATAATATATAATTATAAATCGTAATTACGAGTATATAAAATAAAATTATTTGAATTAATATACATATACACTTCGCGTCATCAGGTTAGCGCCCCCCCTTACACTCATTTTCTTTTACGTTTTTCTCTTCGCCTATTACACACAACTTCTTGGTTTTTTTTTATTTCATTATCATCATATGAGATGTCTCTCATACCAAAAAAGCGCGAGTGAAACCCCGTTATGTTTTATTTTCTATCCTTCTCTATTTTCGCAAAAAATGTGTGCATTTATTTTGCGTCATCAGATTAGCGCCCCCAAATGCAATTGTAATTATCTTGCTTATTTTGGCAATTACACTCACCAAATTTTTTGTGAAGCTCAAAGTATTCAATATATTTATAGTATGGGTAAAGAAACAGTTTTATCTTTGGTTCAAAATCAAAGATTGAGGCATACTTTGAATCTAGACTATGCAACCATAAAATTGCTGAAAAATCAGGAAAAAACAGAAAACTAAGTGGCAATTTTCTTACAAATATGGAAAAAACTATATAAGCGGCAATAATCAAGTGATTTCAGAAGGAAATAGAAGAGCATTAGTTCGAGAAGCTTCGAATTCCCACGAATCGACCACCAAGATTAGGGTTAAAATCAGTGTTAGGACGAGCTTATCAACGGTCTAAAGAGCAATTAAGAAAGTTAATTACTTAAAGAAACAGAATGTAAAAAAAAAAGACACCAGTCGATATGCTGAGAAAAGAAATACGCATTAATTTTGGCCGGGCGAATATGACGTGGTCTACCCAATGGCAGCATGTTGCCTTTTCTGATGAGAAAAATTGAATTTGGAAGGAACTGATGGATATAATTATTATATCCATGACCTACTCATAGAAGAACATTATTTGGAACGGTTTCCAAGCCGCAGCGGCGGGGGGGTGGTGTGGCATTTGTGCACTTGCTTGCACTTGCAAGCTTCAATTTTTGACATCGCGCATGAACGCATAGGACCATAATATCGTGTTTAAAACTGCTGTTCCGCATTTCTATAACCTGTCTGAAAACCGGCATTAGATTTTCCAGCAGGATAATGCCCCAATTCAGACCGCCCGATCCCTGAAGTCCTGGATTCAGGGCCAAAAAATTGATCTCATGGAGTGGCCACCATACTCACTCGACCTTAATAGCATTGGAAACGTCTGGGGATGGTTGGTCAGGAAAGTATATGAGTCCGGAAAGCATTATAGTACAAAGACAGAGTTAATCGAAGGTACTGAACACGCTTAATCAACCATATCCTTGAATAATATTGAATTTATAATTCCATTCCTAATCGAATTTTTAGAGTAATTTCAAACAAAAAACGGCACTACGCACTACTAATATTACTTAAAAATAATAATAGCTTAAAATACAGGTGTTATTTTTGGTAATTAACTTAAATAAATTGAATTTAGCGCAGGGGGCGCTAATCTGATGACCAAATTTTTGTTACCTGTTTTTTGTACATTTTACAAAAAAAATTATTAAAAAATAATCCTTATTGTTACAGTAGCCATTCTTTTTGTATTTTAAAGAGAAATAAATGGAGTATAATATAAAAAAAATTTCAAAGATGGAGCTCTGCTGGTTTAGATTTTATTTAGCTTTGAGGTTGAGTGTAAAGGGGGGCGCTAACCTGATGACGCGCAGTGTACATATTGAGATCGACACGTTCATACATACGAAGAGACGGACTGATGGACAGGGATATATCGACCATAGGCAGTACAAGTTTTTATTTTTTCGATAAATCATTTGATTTATTTTTTTGTCAAGAATAATCGATTAATTGATTTCGATTTTTCATCGTAATTTTAATACTATTAGACCTGAAGAATTCAGATTTACATTTGATGAATACACCAATTTTGTAATTTACAGTTATTGGATACCACACCTCCTTGATTTGTAAAAAACATATTTCACCTACTAGGGACTTCTGCTTCGGAATATACATATATACATTATGACCACGCTCTGAAAGTTTCATGAAAGTTTTTCCACTACAAGGGAAGTTATTCAACAAATAAATTGTCATAATATTGCCCACACTGTAGCCCAAGCGCAGTCGCTGCTCACTGCGCAGTAGGCGGAGCGCGTGCTTATAGGGGCGTGTGGATGTATGTATGTTGGAATGTGTGCATAATATAAGTGCAGAATGATTAGAATATCAGCTTGGAGGGTTCAGGGTATCTGCTAGTCAGTCTCGGCTAGAGCACTCTTGCTTAAATTCATAACTCTTATTTGCGATCCCTGAATTTATCTGTAGTGTTTTATAGTACGGAATTAATTATTATCGTTTTTAGATCATATGAACTCACGCGAAAGGACAGACTCTACAAAAATATTGAACGAATGCAACACTTACGTGGAATGAAGCATTTTGACATTGTGCCCCAATCTTTTATTCTTCCGCTTGAATCGAAAGATCTATTATTTGCCCATAATAAACAAAGAGGACCTTGGATTGTGAAACCGGCAGCTTCAAGCAGGGGACGTGGAATATTTATTGTGAATTCGGTAAATTACTAGCAAAACAAACAACAAACAAAAAATGATTTATAATATTTTGCTTGTAGCCAGACCAGATACCACAGGACGAACAAGTTTTAGTATCCAAATATATTGTGGATCCACTTTGTATTGATGGTCATAAGTGTGATTTACGCGTATATGTGTTGGTTACGTCATTCGATCCACTCATTATATATCTTTATGAAGAGGGTATAGTCAGATTGGCGACTGTGCGGTACGACAGGAACACTGACAACCTGTGGAATCCATGCATGCATCTTTGTAACTATAGCATCAATAAATATCATTCTGATTACATAAGATCATCGGATGCTCAGGAGGAAGATGTTGGTCACAAGTGGACCTTGTCAGCCCTTTTAAGACATCTTAAGCTCCAAGGATGCGATACTCACTTACTGATGCTAAATATTGAAGATCTAATCATTAAGGCTGTACTCGCCTGTGCTCAAACAATAATTTCCGCATGTAGAATGTTTGTACCTAATGCAAATAACTGTTTTGAACTTTATGGATTTGATATATTAATTGATAATACACTGAAACCTTGGTTATTGGAAGTTAACCTTTCGCCATCGATGGGCGTTGACAGTCCCTTGGATACTAAAGTAAAAGCCTGTCTTGTTACGGATTTACTGACCTGTGTTGGCATTCCGGCATTTAGTCCTGAAATGAGATCTCTTTATACCAATAAATCAGCCCGGCGACGTAGCTCAAGTTGTCAAAGGCAAGTAGATGCAACTGAAACCAGCACTACACTTCGATCAACAAAATCAAAAAAAAAGCCTTTTGGATTAATAAACTTAACGCAAGAAGAACAACGTATATTACGTAGCGCCCGATTGCAATATACAAGACGTGGAGGCTTCGTTCGCATATTCCCAACAGACGACACAATGCAACGATACGGACATTTCTTAGATTCTGCAAATGGCATTCCACTATCCACCCCAAATGTTCAAGGTCAAACGTTTCAAGCATTAGTAACGCAACATAATTACAACCAAATGCTGTATTCAAATTTATTCTGTCAGGGCTCACGATACATTCAAGACGATAATTCGCAAGAAAACCGTATTAAACAATACGAACGAGCTTTGGAAACGGACTCTGAAATACCTTTCTTAAAGAAACAAACTGTAGAGAAATGTGAAGAAGAAGGACGAAGACTTCGCAAGCAATTACTTAAGAAAATTGGCAGTGGTTCCACATTAACTCATTTTCAAGCACGTCAAACGTTTAGTTTATATTTAGAGTCCGTATTACGAAGACTAACTCAAGACCCAAAAGATAGTCATGAAAAAATTATTTTAAAATTTCTTAATAAGTATGGTGGGGGTGTTAAACCTCCAGTTTTATTTCGAAATACGCAAAATATTAGTAAAGCTCGTTCAGCAATGGTAGCAAAATTATTAGGTGATTTTTTGGAAAATTACAAAAGAGATACCGAAGCCTACGTAGATTCCTTTGACCATTTTGGAATGATACCAACCAGTGCCTACAGTTTATTTTTAGTACACGCTCAAGAATCAGATCTAGAGGCAGTCCTAACTCATCATACAAATATTACTGGAATAATGCCATTTTTATATAATCGATGTGGGCTGTCAGTGCCATCAACGCCGCCTATTCCGTCCGGATTATATGGGTTCCTAAGGGCTCTGCCTGCAATGGTATCAAATTCAGGAGTCTCGAGAGACGTTAGCAAGTATGATGGGTATTTCAAAAGCTACGATAAAAATTGTGAAAATGTACGTGATATTTCATTAAGATCAAGAAGCACAAAGGATATCAAATAGTAAATATATTTTGTTGCAATTTATTTGTTTTAAGCATATTTGTTAAACCATTTTTCAATAATCTCTTTTGGATTTAAAAATTATATGCATAAGGCTGGATTTAAATAAAATACAACGAAAAATATGCCTAAACAATGTATAACGTAAAATCAAAACTATAAAATAATATAAATTATATATAATAATATAAATGATTTAACCTGCGACATTTTCCTTTAGCTTAATAATAATATTCAATAGAGCTAGTTCATAAAAACTTATGAAATTTGCATATATAAGTTTTGTTAAGGACCAAAGTTAGAGTAAATTATTATTTATTATCAATATAAAATCATATATGAAATCGTATTATGCTAAAATGAAGTATTACCTACTGTATTTATTAACTAAATCTTCAAAATTTATTTCAAGGCCTAAAATAACAACAATGATCTGTTACCACATTTTTAAGATCTATTTTAAATGTAATATCTGATATTTGATAAGTCGAAATAGTCAAAATACTCTATAAAAGTGAGTCAATAAGAAACATAAGAATTTTGTAACCGGACATTATCAAATGCTTACATCTCCTAAGTGTTCACAGCTTGCAAGTTAATAAATTTTTAATTCTGACACTTTTTTTTAGCTGTATTTTGTGTTTCTTATGCGTGGCATATCGTCTGCAGATATACCGAATATATAATATACGGTATAACTAGTCGACCCAGCGAACTTCGTACCACCCAACAGTCTCTATATATATAAAACAAAGTCGGGTTTGTTCAAACACTTATAACTCTAGATCTGCTGGACCAATTTTCATGGTTTTTGATTTGTTGGATTTGTCTCTGCCCCGAATAGCAGAATATATCTTAAAATACTGAAAAAATTAGGAATACTTGAAAAATGCGGTATTTTCCCTAAAACTTCTTTAATTTCGGAGCTGTCAAATTTTTTAAAATCAAAATCAGTAAGTAATGTCGTGTTACCTTTTAGCTGAACTAATTTAGACTTTGATGATTGTAATACAATAATAATAAATAATACAAAACAATATTAATATAAATAGAAGTATAATAGTATTTTATTATGATGAATGATGATGAAAACATACAGAATAAGAATAAAAATAAAAAAGAAATAATTAAGTTTTCCAAACACGTCAGAAAAAAATTGGGATACACTCTGATTAACTTATTAATCGGAACGACATTCTTCGTTTGTTGGTCAGGTGCAAGAGCAAATAATACGGATGGTTTGCCGACACGTGAGCATGCCACGTACAATTGACCATGAGAAAAACACGCATTTTCTAGATTGAGGCCACAAATAGTCAAATTTGATCATCGTCATGGCGAAGGCAAGACGAATCGGGAATTGAATTTGTTTAAACTCAAAGGGCATATCTTTTGGGATCATCGGAATCTTTGGAACAAGAACTTCCTCATCTTTAAATTTTCCTTTGAGTATCGACGCGTGAATCACATTGCTCATCAGTTTTCTTATCACCAAACGCGTTCAATTTCACAGTTTTGGTTGGTTTGAATTTCTAACAGAGCTTGCAAATGAGAGTTGAGCGTTTTTTCGTTTATTCTCTTTCTCGCATCATACCCAAAAAAAAATTGTGTAGACACGTCTCTCTCTGAGCGTCACTCTCTGTTTTCTTTAGCATCTGTTTCGCTCAGACGCAATGCGATCACTCATTAGTGTGACGCTCTCACATGAGTGTCGCGTAAAACTAACACGATTTTCCCTCACACAAAGCCTCTCAGCAAAAAACACTTTGACTAACAAACTCAGCAGAAAATGTTTTTGCCTTCGTGTGCATGTACATACACGCATACATACATACAAAAAGAACGCAGCAATCGCGCGTGATTACCCATACAAACGCAACTTACCGTTACTTCTTTAACTCAAGCACACGATCAGTGTTTGACTTGAGGAAACGAAAACAGAAACAACTATCTCCCTCAGAGAGCGAAGCCAAACGCGACAAAAACAGTTTCTGTCTGAGTTTTTTTGACTGTGTCACTGAAAGACACTTTTTTGCAGACAACGAAAAAGTGTTAACAGTTATTTGCGAGCTATGATTTCTAAGCATGATAACTAGCGAGCCAACCTTCAGTTGTAAATTGTGCGGTGATAAATCTGGCACATCCAAGAAGCTCAAAAATTCAATTGGATAATTAATGGCTTCTTCTTCGTTTGTTACACAGTTGATAGATTTAAATGAATACAGAGTACCTACGATTTGATTTTGAATTATAAAAATGATCATCTACATCTTTATTTTTAGCCGCCAAAATTGCTCGCTCACTTAACCATTTAGTATTTTTGTAGCAATGATATCCGGAAATACTTTGTTGATAAGTTCATCTTTTAATGAGACGAAATTGCAAAAATTGGGAGGAAATGAAATTAAAAACTCTCGATTCGTCAACAACAACGCGGCCATTACCGATATTCAGCAATTGCTTCGAGAAGTCATCAGCAGATAGATCGTTCAGCAATGCAACTCTTGAAGTTTGATTACATATCGCCACAGATTTGATGCTTTGAGGCAAGCGTTCATTTCGCCAGTAGCAGTAGATCTTGGAATTACTGGTTGTGTTCGTCGGAATTCGCCAGATAATTGAGCCACCAAAACATCTCGAGTCATTCCGCAGATCTTTTAATGTTCGGTCTAGTGCTGCACGGAAAACGTTTGCCCTATCTATTATTTCTAGGGAATATTTTGTACTTAAATACAAAATATCTTATTAACTATAAATGTGCGGGGATGCAGTTATAGTCGAAGCCGTTGTAAACAACCGAAGTATGTTTTAGTGTGTTTTAGTGTGTGCTCATTGAACAGAGCGTCCAGCTCGCTGACGATGCGCGTTGCAAAAGGTGAATTGAGGTGATAATAGTTGCAACGTGCATCCACGCGATTGGAGAGTGCGCGTTCGGCGTCCTCGCCACCCATAAAGTAAATTTTTTAATAATTTATAAGGTTCGTTTGGCATTGGTAGCAATGAACCGACTTTGTGGTAGACTTGGCCTTTGATTTTGAATATGAAGTTAAATTGTTGACCATTGCAGCATTATTTTTAACTATTTCCGTTGTTCCAAACGATGTTATTTGAAAACATGAATTGAATTTTCGCATTGACTGCAAGAACAGCGAAGAATCTGGATCAATACCAATAAGGATGCCGTGCAGTGGTTCAATTTCTGGGAGTTTTACTTTTCCTGATGAGCAACACATTCCGATCGGCTCATTTTTAAATTGATGGGCCTAGCAGTGCAGGCATTTCTTATTCAATGTACCAATGACCACTTTGGAATGAGCGTAATATTCAACATCAGGTTCATACTAAAATGCTATGCCAAGAAATGAATGTGATGTAAAGAAATTAATGTGATGTACCTATCTCTTCTCTCTCTTTCTCCTTATATGGTCTCTCAAATCATCTAACTCAGCAGCGCACAAAAATTTAAATTTGTTCCCAACTAATGAAGGATATACCGAAATCATAAAAGCGTTTGCGTTCTTGCAAAATGTTTGCGTTTTCAGCATTGATTGTTCTAGGGTATGGAAATGTTGAGAATCATAAAGAATATTATTCGCGACGGGCATGCACGCACACACTTGCAGTCTCTGGAAACATGTATAAGCATTTGTGCTTTCAATAGGAAATCAAGGTATAATGGTTTTGTTGAAATGTAAGTAACAGGCAGATGAAGGCCCCACAAAGTATATATATATTCTTGATAGCGACGAGCTGAGTTGATTTAGTCATGTCCGTCTGTCTGTCCGTCCGACCATCTGTCCGTATGTTTGAACGCGTCGATTTCAGAAGAGCTAGAGACCTCAAAGTTTGTTCAAATGTTGCAGAATTGAGCGAAGACGAGCTGTCCCAGGCTAAGGGAGTGCAAAGTGCTTGCAAAGCACTACTTGCGCTACTTTTTGCCAGTTCTTAGAACGAGTTGAAGGTAACGTAACTGCAAAATTTTGATGATTACGCTCAAAAATTGTAAAAACTACACGGTATTTCTCGATATGCCACGCCCCCAAAGAGGCGTAACAATTATTTTTGGGCTCATCTACCTCTTAAACTGTAGGAACGGTTTGTCATTTCACTTTCGTGAATGTATATATGGGTTCTTCATATGAGAAGATGCTCACTTCGTTTTAAATGCAGGACCTGTAACGTAACAAGTAAGAAGGCTCCAGTCGAGACTGCTCGACTAGGAGATACCCTGAACCCTTCAAGTTGATATTATAATCGTTCTGGACTTCTTTTATGCACACATACATACACATGCATCCACACGCATTCATAAGCCTGCGCTCTGCTAACTGCGCAGTAAGCAGCGAGTGCACTTGGGCTGCGCTGCAATGTGGGCAATATTAGGAGAATTTATTTGTTGAATAATTTCTTTCGTAGACATACAATCTTAATGAAATTTTTAAAACGTAATTATATGGCTAAAATGTGTGTACATTTTTTTACAAATTGGGGGCGAATGGGCCGTGGTATCTAAAATCTGTAAATTACAAAATCTTTGTATCCATTAACTTTATATACAACGCAAATTTGAAGTCTTTAGGTCTAAAAGTGTTAAAATTAGGCTGAAAAAACAATGTCGATTTTTCGATTATTCTCGATAAAAAAAATTATCGGATGAGTTATCGAAAAGATATGATAAACTTGTACTGCCTATGGTATACACGAGTATGCATACCAAATTTCAGCTCTCTAGCTCTTATATCTTCTGAGATCCTTTTGCTCATACGGACGGACGGACAGACGGACAGGGCTATATCGACTCAGCTCGTCGTCCTGATCAAGAATATATATACTTTATGGGGTCTGCGATGATTCCTTCTGCCTGTTACATACTTTTCACAAAACCATTATACCCTGATTTCCCATTTTCAATGGGTTCAGGGTATAAAAATGGAGTACGCCACAAAGCACTTCCTTTCAATTTAGATCCTTGCTTAGTAATTTTGCTCCGTTAAAAATTTCTTATACATATATTTTAGAGTTTAATAAAGTTACTTTAGTAAAATATATTTATTTAATTTTTTATTTTAATTTCCGATTTGCTTTTAGAGCACATTACAGGTTTTTTGTATATTGATCATAGAGCCCGACGGACATTTAAAAACTTCTGTCGCACTGCCTCCTTGTGCAATGAGCCAACCCAATCTGAAATGTACAAAAGCCTTTAGTAATATAGCCAGATTAAGTACATACATACTTTTTTCTTTAATTTGAGTCTATAATTTATGTTATGTTGTCAATAAAAAAAAAATTGATTTTAAATAATAAACAATGAACCTCCGAATGTACTAATGTTCTAATGAAATAGGCTTTGATACCGAAGGTATAATAAGCATATGCGAGTGCTCTAGTAAGGAGTGGTGGGCTAGAGATATTCTGAACCCAGCGACTATATCCCAATTATTTTAGGCATTAATATACATTGTGAAACAATGCATGAACATACACATACACATACACGTACCATGTGAACATGGTATACTATGTATTGTATTGTACATATTTACAAATTCGCTGAGTTCAAACGGATAGAAAGACATACAGAATGAGATGCTATACTTACATGTGGTCAAACTCTGTTGCGTTAGTATCGATTCCTAGATAATTTGATTCAGAACACAGCTCTTGCGCAGAAAACTAAAAAAAAATTTGCGTTGGTGTCAAATTCAACCCGGGAAGTCGTGCCATTCCTTTGATTGGACCAGTGAGTGAAAGCATGGAATGGTATGAAATTTGCATTCCTCCAGAATGAATTAATATATCCATGCGACTAAAGTTTGAAAATATATTGACGGAATGCGGAACACAACGCATTGCCTTATCATCAAAGCTTTTCGTTATTGAACGCAAAATTTCCTTGGCGATTGAAACGCCAACTGAAGCATAATGCAGATATGGAGGCAATCGTGCATTAAAATATGGTATTAGTATGACCGACAAAGGAACAACTGTGAATGTTAAATTTTAAAATTATAGATTATAAATTTTTACCGTCACAACATTTACTACGCACCAATTGAATGGCTTAATGTATCATAGAATATGGTCGACACAATAGGGTATGCCCATCTAAAATAAAAAAAATCCGTAACTTAATTTTGTTGTGTTTATACACACTTTACACTTACGCATCATGGGAGCTAAAGTCCATATTTATTTTATTCGGTACGATTTTATTCGTTTTATATATCTCTAAAATATTTTCAAGCCAATTATCCGGCGTGATCTGAAGGCGTTCCACTGATTTTGTTAATTGGGTTACGTTCGTGAATCCTTCCCATGTCTTTGATTGAATTTTTAATGCTGACAGCTTTACAAGCGCAGCGCCTTTTAGAGAAGGAGCTCGTTTTAGGTGAGCTTTGAGCGATTTGAAGATTATATCTGCCTAAAATCATAAGCTTAGATATCACTATCATCATATAATTGGAGAGATATAAAAGTCTGTACCCGTTTTATTATGTCTTTTGAATCAATTGACGAATATTGCGAAATATACAGTGCTGATGCTAATTCTGGTAAAGCCCACATAGTAGAGCGTGTGCACACCTCTGGTGTTGGAAAATCTTTTGGTAAAATTTCCAGTACACTTAACAATAGCATAGCGTTGTGTGCGATTCGAGATGGATATTTTGTAAGAAATGATTGCAGCGCCTTCAGATAATCTGCATTTCTTACAACTATTGGACCACTCCAGTTCTTTGGGATTAATAATGTCCAGTTTAGCTGAAACATTGTCATTAAAATTAGTAAGCAAAAAGATTAATCACTGCAACTATTTTAGAATGTTAACAAATTAATAATATCAACTTTACTAGGCAATTAGATAATACAAAAATATGAAGGTCAGTGTATTGGCCTCTAAATTAAAATGGTACTTTATAAATGCATATTTGAATATGTGTCAGATTGCAAATAAAATATTTTTATCAAATTTAAATCAAACCTTATAAACTTCGCTCAAAAGGTATATCCTCTATTTTAATATCTTTGATGCGATATAAAATTATAACTTCAAAACAAATTCGAAAATTGTTTATAAAGAAAAGATTACTTACAACTGGGTACATCGAATGTAAACTAGAAATATTATACAAAACAGAGCTATCCCAAAATCCACGTCGTGATTGCTCAACTTGCAGCTAAAAACAAAATACATATATACATATATAATACATATATATACAAAAAATATAAATATAAATTGAATTTGGTGATACATGATATTCATTTGTTTTCTTATTTAATAAACAGGAATCATTAGGATCCTTGACTTCCTTAAAAGAAAGAACTAAAAGCGATTGGGGGAATTTTGATACTTCATCAGAATCGGATACCCACGATAATATACTTATACTCAAGGCAAAAAACGAAAATACTCAACGTTTATATCTATTCACCTGAAATAGATATTACCAGAGAAATTAAATTATATACTATTTAAATTAGATGGACATGTAATGTAATACCTTGTTAAGATCCTTTATAAATTCTATAATTGTCTCTTTCTCAGACACACGTTGATCATATGATAAGTGACTTGGTAAAACACGATCAATTAAATCTGGCAAGAGATTTGGTATTCCTTGTCGTAAGCGATTGGGAGGTGCCTTGGGGCTCATCCAACGAATTTTATTCTAGAAATTTAATATTGGTTCCATTAAATAGTATGAATACAAAGCAGATTGAAAATGATTTTTATCAGTGTTTAAAAAACTGCGAACAGTTTTCGCAGTTCTGTTATTGCTAGAACTGTTGCTGCGAGCATTTTCGACAGTCGCAGTCGCAGCAAAAGCAAAAACATTTCTTGATCAGCAGCGCAGCGCTTCGGGAATCGACAGCTTCGGCAATTTTGAGAATGCTAGAACTGTTGATGCGTGAACTGGCGACAGTCGCAGTCGCAGCAAAAGCAAAAAGCAATTCTTGATCAGCAGCGCAGCGCTTCGAACTGCGTTCACTGCGACAGTCGCAGTCGCAGCTAGAGCAAAAACTGTCGACTGCCGAACAGCACAGCAGACAGCTTCCACAGTTTTTGCTTTGCTTTGTGCGTCATAAACGAAATGAATGAAAATTAACAACATTTTAATTATTTATTTATAATGGCGATTATTTATTTTTTTGTTCGTCATCTTCTTGGAAGAGCGGCAGGTTGTCAATTGCTGTTTCCAGGAAGCTAGGATTGAGCATCACAAGCAATATATTTTCCAGCGACTCTGCACTTAAACGATTGCGATAATCGGTTAAAACCAGTTTAAGTGTGGAAAATGCACGTTCAATAGTCACCTATTAATATTTTTTTTATTATTAATAATTTTAATAAGTAAACTTTAAAAAGTAAAATTGTAGACAAGTACACAGCTGAGTGGGTGGTATTGCAAAACAAACTTTGCCTGATGCATATAGCTCGGGATCAGTGAGCTGCTTCTCATTCCAATATTGTAAAATGTTTGCATCACTTCTGACAAAGGAAAGCTGCAAATTTTCAATTTTCGCGTGTACATCGGTTGTGCTACTAGCCTTGACTTCAATATCCTGTGTTAAATATTCATTTAACAATTCATCTTCAATGTCATAAAAGTCAACGTTGGAATGATAGGAAGTTGAATTAGTTGCAAAAGCCCGCAACAACGCCTTGATTGATCTCAACTATCCGATCCCATAAAGATTTCAAATATTTTACAGCTTCATTTCTTTCTATTGATGAAATGGTATGATGAAACCGGGGATCCAAGTATAAACAGGCAACTAAATTATCATTGCGCATTAAAGTATTTGCACGTTTTCTAAAAGATTCCAATATTTTTTCACCAATTTGTTTCGTAAGTGGCTGGGTCGCATCTTGTATAATTTTTTGAGTGCATATTTTGCACTTTAGCCACTGCGGATAAAAATTACCATAATGTAATTGCTCCTGTTGAAATATTTTAATAGTTTTTTGTAGCGGATTAAAAGTGTAATTATCAATGAACTCCCAAAAGGAGTCGTCAATTTCGAAATTCTCATCCGCGGGCTTATTTTTAATTGATTCAATTTTCATTAGCACGTCCCTTGCTGCTTTTAAATTTTTAATCATTGTATACGTTGAACCCCATCTAGTTGGGCAGTCCAGTTGTTTTTTAAATTCAAAATTTTCACGAAATCCGTTAGATGGTTTTCGAATATATTTCGTCAAATTACGACAAGTGAATAAGTATTTTGTGATGGCTGCAAATTTAGTCACATCTAGAGCGCAAAGCTGCGCAGTATGAGCAGCACAGCGACAAACTTGAATATTGCCCAATGTCATCTCTGGCATTTCTTCTATGAGATCGATTTTTTTTTAAGTATTCATCATTACTGTAAACTTCATTTTCTTCGATTTCTTCTTCGGACACAACAGACAATATTTTCGTTGCTTTAAGCATATTCGCGCCATTATCAGACGTAACTGATACTATCTGCTTTAGATTTACTTCATATTTTGTTAATATTTTAATAATTTCTATAGCGAGGCTTTTGCTTGTGCTACATCCGACACCTTTTAGTTCGACCATCCCTAAAATACGGGATTTTACTTCCAGTTCGCTAATAAATTGCGCACTTATTCCAAAAATGTTTCGAGATAGCCGCGAAGCACTGTCAATTTTAAGTGAAAGTAATTTGTTTTTCAATTCATCTTTCATGTCTTTGCGTAGATTATTAGCAACAATCTCTAAAGTTTTCTTGCAATTTGATGCGTTTAAACAAATTGATTTTCCGTCGGTTGCCTTGAAGCCGTCACAAATTGGGTTTAAAATATTTCGCATATTATCAGAATTTAACACATTTAACGGTATGGAGTCCTCCGTAACGAGCCCAATGTATGACCTTATTAGTTGCTTTTTGTTCATTTCAATTAAAAAAATTTTTTTTTCGTATAATTTTAGACGACGAACAAATAGAAGAGTTTTCCGACAGCTCGGAAGGAGGAGTCGTTTTCAAATGATGTACATTGACAACATGGGCTTTTAAATTTGAAATTCGATTGGTTTTAAGTTTGCTTTTGCATGTTTTACATGTAGCAAAGTCCCCTTCCTCATTGGTATCAAAATACTTCCAAACATCACATTGTTTATTACGCGACATTTTTGCTGTTGCTCGGATGTACATTAATACAAGACTACGCCTACGATCGGTTTCATTGCAACAAAGTATGCCGCAAGTGACTTCGGCAATTACAGTTACAAAAGTTACCAAAACTAAGCAAAGCAAAAACTGTGGAAGCTGTCTGCTGTGCTGTTCGGCAGTCGACAGTTTTTGCTCTAGCTGCGACTGCGACTGTCGCAGTGAACGCAGTTCGAAGCGCTGCGCTGCTGATTAAGAATTGTTTTTTGCTTTTGCTGCGACTGCGACTGTCGCCAGTTCACGCATCAACAGTTCTAGCATTCTCAAAACTGCCGAAGCTGTCGATTCCTGAAGCGCTGCGCTGCTGATCAAGAAATGTTTTTGCTTTTGCTGCGACTGCGACTGTCGAAAATGCTCGCAGCAATAGTTCAAGCAATAACAGAACTGCGAAAACTGTGGGCTGCAGAAGCACAGCACAGACAAAATTTTACGACTGTTGCTGCTGTGACTGTCAGCTTTTCAAACACTGATTTTTATACCCTAAGCCCATTCAAAATGTGAAATCAGAGTATAATGGTTTTGTTGAAATGTATGTAACAGGCAGAAGGAGACGTGGCATACCCCATAAAGTATATGTCGGCGCGTGCAGTTCGTGCTGTGTGTGTGTGTGTCAGGCATTTCGCAAGAATGTTATTTCATCATAATGTGAAGATTGCATCAGCTTTTTTTGGAGATACGATTGGCTGATGGCATTTTGTAGTTTTGGAAAGTACCGTTTTATCGCGGCGACAGCGTCACGACGCCACTTACGTCACTTATTGCGAAATTGCGTGAAATGGATGTAGAGGAGATTGCAGGTTCCGTAACGCTTGCTAGGCTGGCTCAAGTTGATAGCAGATTGCAGCGCATGACCTTCGCCTCAAATGTGCGCACAAGATATGACTTGCAAACCGAGTTAAAAGCATTCACATTTAACAAAAAGAAGATGACTTCGCGGGAAGAAATGTCTTTGCTTGACATCAAGAGGTAAAAGTTTATAAAACAATAAAATTAAAATTTGATTAACTTGTAAAAAATTAACAGCGCAGCGAGGAGGATCATGTTCGTGCATGTTCACAGGCTTGCGGTTTTTTTTTCGAACAACGAAACCGAGAGTGAACAAGAGAAAAGTGGCATCAATCGTAAAAAAAATTACAAATGACAAAATGCGTGGAGTAGTGCCGCCGTATGTAATGGGAAGATGTTTGAATGCGGAGAATGAGATTCCATCAATCTTCATTGATGAGAGAAAAGCTAAGTACAAAATTTGTTGGTAGTAAATTTTTTATGTTGAAAGCAAGTGGTAATACTGGAATATATAATATGCAAAAATATTTAAAATCTTTCGTTAAAGCCCATAAAAAAAACAAACATTTATTTGTCGAGTTTGTTTGTTTGTCGAGTTTCATTTTGGTGTCATTGGTGTCCTTTTACCAAATACAATTACTGTGGGTGCTGCTATACAGCATTTTCATTATTATTATTGGACGGACTGAAATATTGTCTTTTTTTTACTGATAGTAATTAACTTAAGCATCAAGAATTAAATGTAACACATCTTACAAAGGTGTGCTTATTTATAGATGTTTTCATTTAATTTACAGTACAGAGAGGGTAGAAGAATGGGTCATGTTTATGGCTGAACAGCACAAAGATTCTGATATAATTCATATTATGAATAAGTTGCAATTTTTGAAATAAGATCAGGAATATTTTGTTGCAAAATTGCCAGGATTTAAATGTTGATGTGAATGAGCTTTTTTATTTTATTTTTGATAAACGAGTATAGGAAAAGAAAGTCTTAGAGGGGAAGGAGATGTGAAATTGAAGGCGTTGAAAAAGACATCAGTAGAGAGAAGTGGAGAGTAGTAGAACCTAGCATGTGAAATACATTGATGGATATCAGACACTATACCTGAGAGTCTTACTGATAATTTGGGATTGATCCGCTGCTATTAGGGACACGAGTTAATGTGTTATCCTATTGAGTTGTGTTGTCCTGATGATCTAGTAAAAAGCCTTTTGCTATAATTTTTATTTTGGAAACTCAGTTTGTTGTATTTGTAATACACAAGGACGTGTGAACGCCAGATTGGCCGAAGTGAGTTTTGTTCTAAGAAAAAAAAAAAAATAAATAAAAATAAATGAATAAAATAAAATGAAATAAAATAATAAAAGTTTGTAAAGCAAATGTACAAGTTAAAGGTACTATGAGCTATCAGTTGAATTAGAGGGTCGTGATGCTGATATGAATGATTGAAAGAGAAGCTGTTGAAAGAGACAGTAATGTATTGAGAAACTGTTGAAAGAGACAGTAATGTTTTGAGAAGCTGTTGCAAGAGACAGTAACGTATTGAGAAACTGTTGAGAAAGACATTAATGAATTGAATGATAGAGAAACTGTTGAAAGAGGCAGTAATGTATTGAGAAACTGCTGAGAGAGACAGTCATGAATTGAATGATAGAGAAACTGTTGAAAGAGATAGTAATGTATTGAGAAACTGTTGAGAGAGACAGTAATGATTTGAATAATAGAGAAACTGTTGAGAGAGACGGTAATGTGTTGAATGGAAGAGAAATGATTGAAAGAGAGTGTAATGAGCTGAATGGAAGAGAAATGATTGAAAGAGTCAGCAATGAAATGATTGAAGGTGAAATGGTTGAACAAGACAGAAATGAAATGAGTGAATGTAGAACGGTTGAAAGAGACAGTATTCTTGAAGGGCTGATAAGAAAAGTGAGAAGAATTTGTCATAGTGCACAAATAAAGATCAAATGTTTTGGTGATGGCGTCTGGCACATAAGATAATTTGATATAGATCAGTTGGAACTATGAGACTGTAAAGAATTATAAAGAAGGTTGAATTAAGTTAAAGAAGATGAATTATGTTAGTTCAAGAATGAAACTAAAACCTGAAGATAAGATTCTGTATGGAAAATAGTTCTTATCAAAAAATTTTAGAGAAGAAACGGGAATGAAATATGGTTGATAATTTTTGAATAAATTGATTCATTGAGTAAAGCTTTTTTTGTAAGAGTTACACGAGGCCGTGTAAAGGTCAGGATGGCCGTGTCGAGGCGCAAGTAGAATCAATATATTGGCGGCAGTAAGTGCGCTTTCTACCTACTTGCCTATTTCCCTTTTTGCATGCCTTCGTACTTGTGCGTGTTCGATTCCCTTGAACAAAGAATGCGAGTACTATGACAGAGTATGGTGATTGTTTTGGTCTCACTCGAGCGCAGCATGCATAGTGAAGTTGTTAAGAGTATTTAGAGTGCAGCATGTGAATGCGAATGGTTTTACTATTTTGAGTGATTCGCGACTGGACGTATCATGGCTGGTCGATTATGTTTTATAGGCGGGAAATGAAATGCAAGCACAAGTGCAAAACAGTTGTTTTGATCACGGCGTGTAGAGCATAAGAGATAATGTTTAAAATTTGTTAAGTTAACGATACTGAAAATATATGAATTATGTTAAAATAAAATATTTGCTTAAGAATGAAAAAAAAAAAAAAAAGAATAATGAATGAATTTGAAGATTACGTTTGTCAATGTTTAGTAGTGGTTTTGCAAGAAGACTTATCTTTGTTAAACTGAAATTTTTATAATTTGTCAATAAAATGTTTTATGTATATCGCAAAGTACATTTCGGAAGTATTGCACGAGGTCGTGTAATGATCAGGATGGCCGGCGTGTGCAGTTTGTGTTGTGTGTGTGTGTGAGGCATTTCGCAAGAATGTTATTTCATCATAATGTGAAGATTTCGTCAACCTTTATTTGAGATGCTATTGGCTGATGGCATTTTGTAGTTTTGGAAAGTACCGTTTTAGCGCGGCGACAGCGCCGTGACGCGTGAGCGTGGTTTGATGGTAGGCAGAATAGAATAAGTGTGCGATGCAAGTCAGTTCTATGCTAGACTTCGGCCACCGAAACTCGTTGCGCGATTAGAAAATGGAACAGTTTAATGACGCGTTTATATATATATATTCTTGATCAGGGCGACGAGCTGAGTCGATTTAGCCCTCTCCGTCTGTCTGTCTGTCCGTCCGTCCGTATGCTTGAACGCGTCGATTTCAGAAGATATAAGAGCTAGAGACTACACTAGAATTTTTTTTAAATGATCGTATACAGAGCGCGGATATCGAGTTTGCTTTTAAAATTCGATAAATCATCCCGTTATACTTTTATCAAATAAAAACATTCAAATTCAAGTCAGATGCCAGTATAGCAAATGGTGAATGATTTTTCATTTTTTTTAATTTGTTCATTAAATTATTCATTAAATCCCGTTAAGTCAATCGACGTTAAAAAGTAATAAAATGTTTGGCCAATTAACAAACGCATGTGCACCAGCAAACACATACATACATTCAAACTTCTTCTAGAACATTCTTGGAATCACATCAGCTGTTAGTTTGGTTTAGTTCTGCTAGGTGGCGCTGCAGCAGCGAATCTATTTCAGTTTTGCCAGCGCAGCTTCCAAAAGTTAGGTGGCGTAGTGAGTAGCGGCGTGGCGCTTGATAAGTAGAGGGTTCGAATCCCGAGCGGCGCAAGTGCTGTTAATTTTTTTAATTGTTTCAAAATATTTATATATTTACTTAAATGAGTTTTCTCTTTAATTTATATTTTTAAATACACCGAAATCGAATTTTAAACCATACTGAATGAGCGTTTTTATTAGTTTGGTTATTTTAGCAGATTCTTAGAATCACATCAGCAGTTAGTTTGATTTAGTTTTGCTAGATGGCGCTGCAGCAGTGAACCCATTTCAGTTTTGCCAACGCAGCTTGTAACAGTGAGGTGGTCTAGGGATTAGGGGGACGCTCGATCGAGAAGTCACGGATTCTATTTTTAGACTCATTCACGAAAGTGAAATGAATATATTGGTTTTGTGCAATGTCCGTCTTGCTGTCCGTCCGTCTGTCCGTATGAACGCAATCTATTTCGATCCGCCCACTAGGGGCGTGGCAAATCGGAAAATGCATTTTCCGATATACCAGAAATCATGTTTGTTGAAGAGCTAGAAAGCTAAAATTTGGTATGTAGGTCCGCGCCGACCACCCAAGATCACAAGCTAGGGCAGATATATCTCCGCCCATTAGGGGCGTGGCAAACCGGACAAAACTGTATCTCCTAAAGTTATAAACCTAGAATGCTGAAACTTTGCACGTAAGCTAATGTTTTAATTCTATGAAGATGGGTGAAAAAATTATATATCTACGCCCACTAGGGGCGTGGCAAATCGGACCTGAAGATATGTATAGTGATTTTTCGAATTCTGCTATATTTTAGGCACTATTGATGCTAGAGATCTGAAATTTTGTATATATACGCGGGTTGATCACCCAAGTCTAACGAGCTATGGTAGATATATGTCCGCCCATAGGGGGCGTGGCAAACCGCAAAAGTTTATATCTCCTACAGTTTAAGAGCTAGAAGCTTCAAATTTGGATAGTTAAGTTACTGGTAGCCTCCTCTATCGATGCCCCAAAAATAATTTTTAAGCCTCTTTAGGGGCGTGGCATATCGAAAAATACCCTGTAATTTTCACATTTTTTGAGCGTAAGAATTCAAATTTTGCATTTGGGTAACCGGTTGCTCGTTCTAAGAACTGGCTAAAATTGAGGAGTCGACGGCCACTAGGGGCGTGGCAATCGGCATTTACAGTGCCCGTATTGCGACATTTATATGCGTCAGCCATCTATTTATGCATTTGTACATATAAATAAGCTTAATAGATATTCATAATACAAAAGGAAACATTTTTATGAATTTTAAAAATTTAAAAGAAGCTAAAATAACAAAAATTTGCAATTTACAAAAACAATTTACCCAAACAGCATGTTTGTCAAAATAGCTAAAATAATGGTCGTCGGCGCTTCAGCCTACAGCACCGTTTCGATCAACAGTAGTTAAAACGAAATCACATTATTGTTATGACGCCACATAGCAAAGAAAAGCCAGAGTGGTGGCTGGAAATTCAAAAACAATGCAAAGACAAATCAATCGCAACTAGATTCTTAGAATATGCTAGAGTACGCATTTATGTGTGCATACATACACACATACAAATGAGCGCGTGTATAAGGCTGGAATGCTTGATGCTATGCGTGCAGACTTACATATATACATATGTATGTATTTGCGTATATGTATTTGAGGGCTATTGAAGAAGAAACAAATTTAAGCTTATAAAATTATGCGACTAAGAAAATGAAAAGTATTAAGTGCCATTCAGTCAAGCTCGCACCTTCCCAATAAAATATCTATTTTATAAAAAACGAAATATGTATAAAAAAAAAAAAAAACAGTAGAGGTTCGAACCTCCCCCTCTAACGTTACTTGCGTCGCCCTTAGCACTCGCGCCACTGCTTTGCTCGAGCACTCAGTTGCTAAAATAGAATAGCTTAATAAGAGAGCGTCATCAGACAAAACTACAGTAACGGCTATAAAGTCCAGAAATCAATCGAAATTCTAAGAATGTGAGAAAAGGCGCGCTTCTGTCTGTACGCATAGAATAGACGATGAGTGTGTGCACATGTATAGTAAAATCGCGCTGATCTGCTGCTAGCTTGAAGCCGGTATCCAATATATGGATATAAATACATATACATATATTATTAAAAGTCAAAATTGTATAAATTATATACATATGCATGTAATTTGAATGCAATTATGCAATGATCATAGCAATAGCTATCGATGATTTTCCAATTTTAATGGGATCATGCCCTGTTTTTTGTTGCGCACTAGACTTGAAAATTGCACTATATACTCTGGTTGACAGCGTTTGGGCTGTGAATGAGTCTTCTGCAATCGGTATCGCCCGACTGCAACGTTCTTACTTGTTTTTTTTTTAATTGTTTCAAAATATTTATATATTTAATTAAATGAGATTTCTATTTTTCTTATATTTTTAAATACATACTAAATGTGTATTTTTATTAGTTTGGTTCAGGGTAGTATCTAGAGTCGAGCACTTTCGTCTAGAGTTTTCTTGTTTAAACTCGCTTATCTCGCTCACGGTTTTATAGTACTCAAGAGGAATAAGTAGGGAAAAATCCACGTCTTTGATAGTTAGCAATTAGTAAGTAGTAAGTACTAAATTAAAACACCCACACTTTAAATACACTTGGCGATGTGTGTCTCTTGTGTATAAGGTTTACATAGTATTAGCTACTTTCTCCTTCTAACTAAGATAAATGGGATTTACTTCTGCTTTGGGAACTTGTTGACACAAATTGGAAAATGAATTAATGAATACAACGTACTGTATGATATACATACCTCTAATATAACTGATGAAGTACTTGGTCCGCTTATGATAAGAAGAACATGTGGTCTTCTTCCATAACTTAGATCATAATATATATCAACAAGTGGACTGGGACCAAGCTCATAGATTTTAGCTACAAGCGGTGCAATTGATGAAGGGCCAATGACTCCAACCGTTAAGTAACCTCCTAATTGATTAAAGATGCGGTGTATATCGCTCGAATTTGTTGTCAACTTAAGGCAGCTCTCATATAAGATTTTAAGTTTCTTAAAATTTTCACTTATACTTGAATTGTTCAGAAGCACTACAAAATATTTATGGGAATATAAATATATAATAATATATAAATACATACATATAATAGAGAAATGTTCAACTTACTTAGCATTTGAATATCGACTGATTTTTGTGAGTTACCCATTTCAATTATGTTCGTTACATTTTTATTGAACTTTCGACGCCAGCAACTGAATTTCTTAAATTCTGAACAAGGATCTTTATTCCAGTTAAGTCTCGCTTGAATGTTCGAAGAAACAGTTTCGCAAATATCTTCCGTGCATTCCGAAGTAGATGCAACTGTAGGTGAACAACCGTCACCGTCCATATAGCAATCCCTTGGAAGTGGAGAGGGAGCTGTACTAATTAGAAATAATATTGGCGATGCGACCAATAAAGTTGTAACTAGTAAAGTTGCGGACGTAATAGCGACTTTGTGCACTGCAGCAGAGGTGCGCAGCCATATACAGGGGGCACAACATATCCAGCCAATGATATTGTTCTAAAATAGACTTTCTCATCATCAAGAATAGACGTTTAAGTATTTGCGCAATACCTTATTATATTGTCCCGCCAAGTTATCTAAATTAGAATTGTCAATAATTTCAACCTCGTCAGCTTTACCAAATTGATTCGAACAAATTGGGGTTTTAAATGACAATTGTTTTTGGAGAAGCGACGCGCTACTTCCCCCCGATGGATTCGCAGAAGTAATTACATTACGAGGATTAGTACTTAGACTACTTACACCCGATTTGCGAAATGTGTTACGCGAGTTAAACTCAGCTGTCATCGTGTGTTTTTCTTTTTGTGCTATGGGAATAATAATAAAATAATGAAAAATTTGACACAATCGAGTTTTTCAATTACATATGATTAATTAATATGCATATATAGAAAGCAAGTCTCTGCTGAAATATGCACATATTCACGTCTAGAATTTAATCTATGCTTCTTTTAATAATACAAATGATCATTTGCATTTACATTCCCGTGTCGTATATGCGATCACAGTGTGGGCAAATAGTCCAAAGCTTTTGAAATTAAAAGCTTTTCATACAAACCAATACCAACTCAATTTATTTGTATTTTAGTTTTCAATTAGATCTTTTATGATAATAATATGTATACCCTAGAAAACAGCGATCGTGTTTGTTTTTCTACAAATATTTCAGATGAAGTTGAATAATAGCTGAGAAACATTGCTTTGAAATAATGAGTCTATTGTGTACAAATACTATATTTAAAATATATGGAGCTTATGTTAATAATATTTTCAAATGTTACAAGAAAATAAATACAACTTGCACCATTGACAATTCAACATTTATCACTTTCACATATTTGCATTTGAGCCATTTGGGATGCACTATTATCGTAGAATTTATTAAAAACCGCCAGTATTGGTTTTTTGATTGACAGCAATTACGTAACAAAACAAAATAAAAAAAAGAAGCAAAGTTAAATCGAGTCGTGTTGACTTTAAAATGTCTTGTTATTAGTTCCAATAGAATATTGAAAAAAAAAACTTCCGGCAAAATTAAGCTTACCGCCACAAAGTAAATTAGACAGTACTGAATTAAAAAAATATTTCCTTCACATGTTTTGTGCGTTCTCTATGATTACTTTATTGATTTTTCCCGTGAATTATAAAGAAAAAACATTGTATTGGATTGTAGGCGACTGCGCATTACGAAGGTATATTATATATATTTTTTTTATTAAATTCTGCTTACCCGTACTACTATAGGAAACAAACTAGTCGAACTTACTTTCATAAATTTCAGTTCAAATTGGTATATTCAAATTTGTCATATTGACTAGTGTCTCGAAATGAAGGGCCTGATCCATGTTAAAATTCAGGCGGAGATATGATCAGAACCACAAAATTTATGCATTCATATGTGTATTCCTGATTTTAGCTGTATGTTCATCCGACAATGGTTTGTTCAAGTGCATCCATATGAAAATTGTGCTTTGTATATCCCATTATAGCAGCTACAGATCGAATTTGTTTCGAATCATTAGTAAATATTTCTGTTCCGATCTCGACTACGAGATCCCCTGAACCTTTACATAATTCTATGATTCTGTTTATACAAGAAACAGTGGGTTGGGGTGGATTATAACAATCTTAAAATTTGGAAACACTAGCTATGGATTTAATCCATATCAAATTCTAGCAGTAGTTAGTTTTTGGTAGCAAAATCGATATATAACAAGTAAGAAGGCTCCAGTCGAGACTGCTCGACTAGGAGATACCCTGAACCCTCTAAGCCGATATTCTAATCATTCTGCATTTTTATGCACACATACATACACATGCATCCACACACACGCATAAGCCTGCGCCTGCGCAGTAAGCAGCGACTGCGCTTGGGCTGCGCTGCAGTGTGGGCAATGTTATGAGAATTTATTTGTTGAATAATTTCTTTTGTAGACATACGATCTTAATGAAACTTTTAGAGCATAATCATATGGTGAATATGTGTGTACATTCCAATACGTTTTTTTCAAATTTGGGGAAAAGGGGGCGTGGTATCCAAAATCTGTAAATCACAAAATCTGTGTATCGATTAACTTTATATACAACGCAAATTTGAAGACTCCAGGTTTAAAAATGTTCAAATTAGGCTAAAAAACAAAATCAATTTTTCGATTATTCTCGATAAAAAAAAAATCGATGATTTATCGTGTACACACGAGTATGCATGCCAAATTTCAGCTCTCTAGCTCTTGTAACTTCTGAGATCGACGCACTCATACGGACGGACAGACGGACAGGGCTATATCGACTCAGCTCGTCGTCCTGATCAAGAATATATATACTTTGTGGGGTCTGCCACGCCTCCTTCTGCCCGTTACATACTTTTTCACAAAACCATTATACCCTGATTTCCCATTTTCAATGGGTTCAGGGTATAAAAAGTAAGAAAGCTCCTTCGAGACTGCTCAACTACGAGATCCCCTGAACCCTTCGAACAACTGATATTTCAATAATTATTCGCACATGCACACACACAGCATACGCACGCACGCATAAACACGCATTGGCTGCAGTCCTGGCTTACTATGGGAACATAATTAATTAATACATTTTTTGTAGGACTATCTTCATGAAACTTTAGATAATGTATGTAACATAAATATGCATATATTTGCCAAACCACAAGTTTCTAGTATTTTAAATACGCCTTTTACAAAGGTGATGGTGAGGGGGTGGATATAGGGTTGGGGGATAAATTACAATAAAAATTGAACATTTATTAAATACATATGTCTACATTTAAAATTTGGAAGCTCTAGCTCTAAAGGTATAGGAGATATAAATAAATAACTAGCTTTCGATAAGGTTTTTAATCGATAATAAAATATCGGAAGTAGTTATCGATATTTAAAGAAAAACTCGATATGTGCGTGATATAAACGGACCTAGGAAAAACAAGTAAGAACGTTGCAGTCGGGCGTTAATGACTGCGGAATACTCATTCACACCCCATCAGCAATTTAGTAGCTAAGTTTCGCTATAATACTGTAGAATATATAGGTTTTTCCGATTTGCCACGCCTCTACTGGGCGTAGATACCTCATTTTTGGTCAGTCCTTAGAACGTGATAACGGTACACTAACTGCAAAGTTTGAATGCTTACCCTCAAAAAATGTGAAAATTGCAGTGTATTTTTTGATGTCACGCCCCTAAAGAGGCGTACAAATTATTTTTGGGTAATCGATGGGAGGTTACTAGTAACTCAACTATCCAAATTTGAAGCTTCTAGCTATTGTACTTTAGGAGATATAAACTTTTGCGGTTTGCCATTGCTCCTGGGGCGCACATATATCCGCACATATTGTCCAAAATATAGCAGAATTTAAAAAATCACTATATCTTCAGGTCCGATTTACCACGCCCCTAATGGGCGTAGACATATAAATTTGTCATGAGACTTTATATAATCATAACAATAGCTTACGTGCAAGTTCTAGCTGTAAAACTCTTGGAGATACAGTTTCATCCGATTTGCCACGCCCCCAATGAGCGTAGATATATCCGTTATAGCTCATGATCTTGGGTGATCGACACGGATCTACATTCCAAATTTTAGCTTTCTAGCTCTTCAACTAATATGATTTCTGGTATATCGGAAAATGCACTTTCCGATTTGCCACGCCCCTAGTGGACGGATCGGAAAAATTTTAAAACTTTATACATCGAAGATAAACACGAGTATGTGTTCCTAATTTCAAGTCTTTACGGACGGACAGACGGACATTACAAAAAACCAATATAATAATTCACTTTCGTGAATGAGTATAAAAATTTCAAGTATTTAGATCTTATATCTTCTGAGATCGACGCGTTCATACAAGAATGATCAAGAATATATATACTTTGTGGGGTCTGCCACGCCTCCTTCTGCTAATTTCATACTTTTAACAAAACCATTATACCGTGATTTCCCATTTTCAATGGGTTCAGGGTATAAAAAAAAAAAGAAAAGGAAAAGAAAGAGAGTAATTATTAACTATTACTTTTATAAAGTAAATCTTTCATATATTTAATCTATTTAAAATCATCACAAGCATCACAAATCCAGTATGTATGTTCTCTGCGGTTGACGTTATTATTTTTCAGCCGACTGACATTTCATCTCTCTCTGTTGTTTACTGAGCGTTACGAAAGCCGATTCCAATAAATTCGTCTTTTGTTTATTATTATTTTGAAATGACACACTCATTTTCCGATTTTTAGCAATCCCACCACAGTCTGTAGAAAGCTTAATTTTATTTGAGTGATAATTTTGTTGAAAATCATCTAAACATAAATAATTCTAAATAAAAGAAAAAATGGAAGAAAAATAAGATTTTATAGAACATTTGTATCATTTATATATATAAATATAGCTGGAGACCATATAGAAATAGGCAAGAGTTTTTGAGTCTTGATTATTACAGAAATAAAAAGCTATGTAGTAAAAATGAGTTTTCTTTAGTTTATCTAATTTTAACTCTTTTTTTATATTGTAAATAAATACGAACTTACAAACGGACAGCAAATATATATTTACATATTTTATGAAACCTAAGCCTCATTGAATACAAATTTATATAATAGCTGTTGACCATTTCCGGTTGTCTGCAAATAAGTGTCTTTCACTCGCACTTTGAGAAAAGACCCAGAGGACTCGCCGAGTTAAGTTTCTTCTCTTTTGCTCTGCGAGTAAACGTATTGCTTGCGATCGTGAATTGAGTTTTGCGGTGCATTGCGTGTATACTTACACACTACAAATAAAACAGCAAACAATGTTTGCAAATAAACTTAACCCTCTAGGACGTAAAAGTGGCTCTAAGCACTTATTTTATTTTAGTTTTTAAAAAATAAATAAGGACGTTTAGTTCATTTAAAATTTGTCTGGAAAAGGCTCTACACACTGCATTAGAAGATGCACTAATCCTTAATGTGCACTAATCTTGAAAACATTGATAATACTGTGCAGACCTAGGAGCCTTTCCGAAAAACTCCTAAGAGGCCTCTATCGCTATTGTCAGTTATTAAACACGTGTATCTTTACCGTCTTCTGGGGGCTTTTTAATGGCCTTAGTAAGCAAATCATTACTTTTAATCCAACACATTAATTTTTTATGAATAGTTGTCGAATCAATTAAAATCCTCAATCCCCTCCTCAATCCTCATATGTAGTGGAGATTAGTAACGTATTGTGGAAAGACAACAAGGCCGTTCGCTTATTATCGAACTATGCGTTAGACCGTTTAATAGGTCAAATATACAAAAAGGAACGTCAAAGATAGCTCGTTACGACAGAGAGTCGAAGCGCCATGTAGAAGTTGACTGTCCACAAGTTATAAGGGAGTATAATGCTCATATGGAGAGTGTGGATCTGATGGATGGGCTTATGGGCTGATACCATATAAAAAGTAAAACTCAAGATGCTGCAAACCGAACTTTCTACCATTAATTAGATATAGCAGCAACGGCAAACGGATTACAAACGGTAGCCATGAGCAGAAAAAGATTAAGCTTCCGTATTTTCTAGAATCTATAGCTACGGGTCTAGTGTGATATCAGTAAAATACTTTCCAGGTCGTCCGCTTAAAAAAAATTTATCTTCATCATCTGCGCGATCAAATCGGTCGCCATCACATACTATGCAGTCGCTAATTTCTCGGCGACCCTTGCAGCCACAACTCAAACAAGGCCAAAGCCAATCAAATCACCCAATAAAGGACTTAAGATGTGACCTTTTGAATCATTTTCCAGTGGTTGGATCGCAATATGGGAAAATGATGGTGCAAGCACTGCAAAACTTCACAATCGCAGTCATTTGCACAAATGCAAACTGCATTTATGCTAATCAGCCAATAAAAATTATTTTTCTGATTACCATAGCAACAAATAAAATGATTTAAAGAAATAAAATAAAACAAAAATAACAAAATCAATTTATTTGGAAACTACCTTTTTACCCTGAAAGAGTGCCTTGAGAAACTTATTTACATTTTCTCACCTTCCAGGTAAAAGAAAACTTTAAAATTTTTTCTGAGATCATATATATATATATATATTTGAGCTCCGGAGCCCCTATTTACTTAGAAAAAAATTCGAATTAATTTCTGCCTTTACTTTATTCGAGGGTTAAATTGTTGTTTGAAAATATATATTTGCTTTAATCGGCAATGCAAAATAAGGCGAAGACCAATTGCATTGAGTTTTCAGTCGAAAGAATCATTGTGCGAACGTCCATCGTCTCGCTCGCACACGATGGTCTTTGAAAGAGATTCACACGTATAGCTCAACTTAATGTGCTCAAGAGAAAACAAAAGCAAGAAGAAACGGAGTCTCATGGTGAGAGCGAGAGCGAGTGTGTATACAATTTTTCGATTATGTTCGCGAACAGAGCATAAAGAATAAAACGGTCAACAGTTATTTGCAAGCTTTGATTTATATATGTAAATTTTCTCAAACAATTATACACCGAGTTCCCTTTATTTTATATATATATATATATATATATATATATATATATATATATATATATTTTTTTTTTTTTTTTTAAATAATTTATGTTGATGTTTCACTACTTACTTCACTTGAATGGCTGGCAAGATTGTGTTCTGGATTACACATCCATTCTACACTTGCAACAATAAGATCCTCTTTTCTTGGTGAAAAACATTTACAACAGAAGAAAACTGTAAAGCCAAAATATTATTCTTATTGATTATTATATGCTTATTATAAGTTAAGTAAATATAGGAAATAGGAAATATTCGAATTTTTTTAAGGCACAATTTACTAAAAATTCTTAGTTGATTTTGAAATGAATATACCAATATGAAAGTAATACTATTTTATGGTACTCATTCATGAAAGTGAAATCCGTCCGTGTCTGTCCGTCTGTCCGTATGAACGCAATTTATTTAGGCACTATTGAAGCTAGAGTCATTAAATTTAGAACACATGCTCGTATATATCTCCGATTTCTAATTCCCGATCTGCCAAGAAGGGGCGTGGCAAATCGGAAAATGCATTTTCCATACCATATATACCAGTTGAAGAGCTAGAAAGCTAAAATTTGAATTGTAGATGCGCGTCGCCCACCCAAGATCAACAAGCTATAGCGGATATATATACGCCTATTGAGGGCGTGGCAGATCGGATTAAACTGTATCTCCTTGAGTTTTAAAGCTAAAACGTTGAAATTTCGCACGTGAGCTAATGCTAATGCATAATGCCCAACAGGGGGCGTGGCAAACTGCAAAAGTTTATATCTCTTACAGCTTTAAATTTGGTTAATTAAGTTACTAGTAACATCCTCTATCGATGAATCAAAAATAATTGTTACGCCTCTTTATATATATATATATATATATATATATATATATATATATATTTATTTATTTATAAATAGGCTTAACAGGCAATGATAACACTGGAGGAAATATTTTTTTGGAATTTAAGATATATCAATTTAGTTTTAAATCTTTAAAAAATAAACAAGAAAGCTCTAGTTGAGACTGCGATTACGAGATCCCCAAAGCCTCCGAGCAATAGCTATTTTTCATTTTTCGCGTCTTTCTGCTTACACACGCCCAAACACACACAAGCATACACACACACACACATACACACACAACCACCCACGCATAAACACGCATGGTCTTCTGAAATCGACGCGTTAATACATACGGACAGACAAACGGACAGGGACAAATCGACTCATCTCGTCACGCTGATCAAGATATATATATCAGAGCTCGAAAATGAGAGTTGATCGTTTTTTCGTTTATGCTTTGCTTCGCATCATAACCGAAAAAATTGTGCAGACACGACTCGCTCTGAGCGACACTCTTTGTTATACCCTGAACCCATTTTCAATGGGAAATCAGGGTATAATGGTTTTGTTGAAATGTATGTAACAGGCAGAAGGAGGCGTGGCAGACCCCACAAAGTATATATATTCTAGATCAGGGCGACGAGCTGAGTCAATTTGGCCCTGTCCGTCTGTTTGTCTGTCCGTCTGTCCGTCCGTCCGTCTGTCCGCCTGTGCGTCTGTGCGTCTGTCCGTATGTTTGAACGCGTCGATTTCCGAAGATATAAGAGCTAGAGACTTCAATTTTTTTTTTAATGACCGTATATACAGCGCGGACGTCGAGTTTGCTTTTAAAGAAATAACATAAAACAAAAATAAAAAAATCAATTTATTTGGAAACTACCTTTTTACCCTGAAAGCCCCAAGAGTGCCTTGAGAAACTTATTTACATTTTCTCACCTTCCAGGTAAAAGAAAACTATAAATTTTTGCTGAGATCATATATATATTTGAGCTCCGGAGCCCCTATTTACTTAGAAAAAAAATTCGAATTAATTTCTGCCTTTACTTTATTCGAGGGTTAAATTGTTGATTGAAAATATATATTTGCTTTAATCGGCAATGCAAAATAAGGCGAAGACCAATTGCATTGAGTTTTTCAGTCGAAAGAATCATTGTGCGAACGTCCATCGTCTCGCTCGCACACGATGCTCTTTGAAAGAGATTCACACGTGCTCAAGAGAAAACAAAAGCAAGAAGAAACGGAGTCTCATGGTGAGAGCGAGAGCGAGTCTGTATACAATTTTTCGATTATGCTCGCGAACAGAGCATAAAGAATAAAACGGTCAACAGTTATTTGCAAGCTTTGATTTACATATATATGTACACAAAGTATATATATTCTAGATCAGGGCGACGAGCTGAGTCGATTTGGCCCTGTCCGTCTGTCTGTCTGTCCGTCTGTCCGTCCGTCCGTCTGTCCGCCTGTGCGTCTGTCCGTATGTTTGAACGCGTCGATTTCCGAAGATATTAGAGCTAGAGACTTCAATTTTTTTTTTAAATGACCGTATATACAGCGCGGACGTCGAGTTTGCTTTTAAAATTCGATAAATCATCCCGTTATGTTTTTATCGAGTAAAAACATTCAAGTTCAAGTCAGATGCCACTATAGCTAATTGTGAATGATTTTTCATTTTTTTAAATTTCTCAAATATTCAATATAATATGTAGATCATATGCTGAAAGTTTCATTAAATTCCGTTCAGTCAAAAATTAATAAAAAATAATCAAATATTTGACCAATTAACAAACGCACATGCAGCAGCTAAAACAGCATCGTATGCGTGTGCACACATACATTCAAACTTCTTCTAGAAATATTCGTTGAATCACATCAGCTGTTAGTTTCGTTTAGTTTTGGTAGATGGCGCAGCAGCAGTGAATGTATTTGAGTTTTGCCAGCGCCACTAGCATGAGTGGGGTGGCCTAGTGTGTTAGCTGCATAACGCTCGATCGAGAAGTCGCGGTTCGAGTCCCGATCGATGCAACTGATGTTAACTTTTTTAATTGTTTGAAAATATTTTTATATTTTATTAAATGAGTTTGGTATTTTATTTATATTTTTAAATACATCGAAATTGAAATTTCAGACATACTAAATGGCCATTTTTATTTGTTGGGTTCAGGGTAGTATCTACTCGAGTACTCTCGACTAGAGTTTTCTTACTTGTTTTCTTTAGAATCTGTTTCGGTCAGACGCAATGCAATAACTCATTCGTGTGACGCTCTCACATGAGTGTATATTTGATTAAATGCGTTTTGTATTTCATTTATATCTTTAAATACATCGAAACTGAAATTTTAACTATACAAAATGTGAATTTTTATTAGTTTGGTTCAGGGTAGTATCTAGTCGAGCACTCTCGACTAGAGTTTTCTTACTGGTTATACCCTGAACCCATTGAATATGGGAAATCAGGGTATAATGGTTTTGTGAAAAAGTATGTAATGGGCAGAAGGAATCATCGCAGACCTGATAAAGTATATATATTCATGATCAGAACGACGAGCTGAATCGATATAGCCCGGTTCTTCCGACCGTCCGTATGAGTACGTCGATCTCAGAAGCTATAAGAACTAGAGAGCTGAAATTTGGCATGCATACTCGTGTGTACTATACGCAGTACATCGAGATTACTGTCGTCGACTAGACTTCGTACCGAACGGTTGTGTTATCGTTGAGTTCAGTTCACAGCTTATCAATTTTTCAAGGGCCTGTTTTACACTCATTCTTCACTCCACACTTCCAATACACACAGAAGCATAAAAGCATATAGTAAGTCAAATACACAGCTATGCCCACAGGGCATTATAGTCAAGGGGTGAATCGCTTTGCAATGTTAAGCGATAGACCCAAACCAAAAGAAAAAAGGCTACACCACTGTCAGAAGCCCAAATTCATTATTATATCAGCCACCGACACTAAAAACCCAATCTCCACATACTCCTGTTTTGCCGTAGAGCGTGCAATTAAACTCATCAGTAAAAATATATTAAAAATTAACGAAGTGCGTGACGGTAATCTTCTAAACGCAACAGTAGCTGAGAAATTCATTGCTTCTAAGGAGCTCCATGGTATTTGAAAAATATCTTGTGAATATCACAAAAATCTAAATTACTGCAAAGGCACAGTATATGCCCCATTCCTTAACAACGTCACAAATGCTGAAATACTTAAAGAACTTAAGTCTCAAAGAGTTGTAGATGTATACAAATACTCCAAACTCATTGATGACAAAACCATCCCGTCTGGCGTAGTGCAACTCACCTTCAATTTGTATAATCTTCCCCCAAAAATGCAAATTTCATGGCACGTAGGCAAAAATTGCCACAGCAAAGTATTTCAAAGCAACAGCAGTTTGCGACCCATGTGGACTACCAGTTCACAAACCAGCTCAGTGCTCTCAGTATTACAAATAATGCATACAGACACCGACAATTACGAAAGAAACATTTTCAGAAATAGCCGCTAAATTAACACCGCAAAAAGAAAACGAGAAAAAAATCTTACCATCCACCTCCAATAAAGAAAATAACTCTAAAGACAAAATAAAAAATCAAATCACAAGGACAAGATTACCTCAAGCTACTCAGAAACAGACATACCCATCACTTACTTAAGAAGTAAATACAAGACAAACAATCAAAATCACTCAACGCTCTCGGATACGGACAGTATCATAGAGGACGTTGAGTTATAATAAAACCTCTCAAAGCTCTCAAAGCTCGCTCTCTTTCTCGTTCTCTGCGAAAGCCTATAATGATTTACTGCATTAAAGCGCAACTTCGCTAAACGAGAAGGAGAGCGAGCAAGAGAGAGATTATAAAACTAGCCCAAAAATCAAAACAAAACCGATTAACACAACCCATTCACTCACATAATGACTCTAAAAATATTACAATGGAACATAAATGGATATAAACACAAATACCATAATCTCTCTCTATTAATAAAAAAAACATAACCCACATATAATTGCTCTTCAAGAAACCCATATAACCGATCCCATCCAAAAAATTCCAATACCAAACCAATTTTCGCTCTATCAAAAGAATGATATTAATTTGTCAGCTCCTAAAGCCAACAGAGGAGTAGCTCTCCTAATATCAAATAATTTACAACATAGAATAGTAGATCACCAGTCCAACTTCTTAGCAACATGTGCCGAAATACAAGCTAAATCACCGTTTGTTATTATTAACATTTATCTTTCTCCTACGGACAAGTTCACAGAGCAAGACCTTCACAACCTAGAAGACTTTAACGCGTGGCATTCTCTCTGGGGATCACCCTCAAACAATCCAAGAGGAAAAATCATAGCAAATTTCATACAAAACAGTAATCTAATAGTTCTTAACAAAGGAGACCCTACACACTCTCAGCCCACCACTTTTCCTTAACGCCATCTGAGCTACATATGAAGATCTATATGGAAGCGACCACTATCCAATACGCATACAAATATTTCCCACAGCAAATAC